CCTTTATTCAAGAGCTGATGACCAATTGACCCCAGTGTTTTGCCAGTCCCTCAAGAACTGGATTAATTAACGCCTACAGCATGGCATTCACTTTTATGAATTTCTTTTTGGAAATACCTTTTCTGGAGATTAGTAAGCAATGGCATGTTTCCCACAGATTTCAACATGCTGTAAGAGGAGCTGACAGGGCAAGGAAGTATAATAATTTAAGAATAAAAATGACATGCTCCTATGTTTTGAATCTTTTGGTTATCATCTCCATATGCCGTGTTAGCAGAGTAATTAGCTTCATTAGGAGGAGCCTTCTACAAACAGCACATGTTGCAGCCAAATGATGTGGCATCATCCTGAATGCACAATCAAGGCCGAAATGAAGATCATCAAACTCCAAGACCATCCATTTTAATCAGCAATGCACCAGGGCAACTAGAATTGGACTCAGCTGTTAAACTGATAATTGTGTTTGTGGAAGAGATGGTCTGAAAAACACACACACTTCTGTCAATTGACCCACTCTGGAAATTCTTAGTCTATCCACCCTGCTGAAGAAAACTTTTGTTTACTGTTGTGGGCACTTAGTGGGGCATCTAAACCCAAAATCTGCTGGAATGAGAGAGTTAGAATCCAACAGATCTCCACATCAGCCAGGGTTACACTGGCATAAGTCCCCAACCCTGGCTCAGCCAGAGGTATCTCAGTAAAAGTCCCTCATCCCAGCTCAGCCAGTACAAAGCAAACTGAACTGGCAATGACTTTGCCAAGCACAGAGTTAATCAGTTTCGGCAGTGGGACCAGGCATCCAGTGAGGGGGTTCTTATGCTGGATCCTAAAACTGTTCCATTCATGTCATGTGACCTGGCAACCAGGAGGAATTTACACTGGCAAAAGGGGAGGTCCAAGTCAATCTCCCAGTATGTTTCCAAGCACAATTCAAAGTGCTGGTGTTGACCTTTAAAGCCCTAAACGGCCTCGGCCCAGTATACCTGAAGGAGCGTCTCCACCCCCATCGTTCTGCCCGGACGCTGAGGTCCAGCGCCGAGGGCCTTCTGGCGGTTCCCTCATTGTGAGAAGCAAAGCTACAGGGAACCAGGCAGAGGGCCTTCTCAGTAGTGGCGTCCACCCTGTGGAACACCCTCCCATCAGATGTCAAAGCGATAAACAACTACCTGACATTCAGAAGACATCTCAAGGCAGCCCTTTTCAGGGAAGTTTTAATGTGTGATATTTTAGTGTATTTTTGGTTTCTGTGGAAGCCACCCAGAGTGGCTGGGGAAACCCAGCCAGATGGGCGGGGTACAAATAATAATATATTATTATTATTATTATTATTATTATTATTATTATTATTATATCTCAATTTGACTTGTTTTCCCTTTGACAGGCTTCGACCAACACAGCCAGGAACAGCCTTGCTCCTAAATGGGGTTTGGCTCTGACACATTTTATTTTATTTTGATTTATATTCAGAACTATGTAGTGAGACCCTCCCACTTTCATGGTTATGGCTATCCTCATTAGTAGGCACATCCATAACTTTTTAATTTTTTACTCCTGCCACTGAAGTATAAATGTGTTGGAGCTTTGAAGGCACTTGGGACCTGCAAGCAAGTAAGATGGTAATCACCACACTCAGCTGGAGCTCACCAGAGCTCAGCTCTGGCACCTCTTGGGTGGGCGTCATTACCATTCTAAGAAAACCAAGGAGAAGTTCATGGTAAGATCTGGCACCACTTTTCCTAGAAAAATAACACTGCTCACACTGCTTTTCTTGAAGAGCTGTTCTTCCATCCGGTATTGGAAATTCTGTTGTCAGATTGCTTTTGTCTTCTAAACACAGACCGAAAACTTAACAATGTCTTTAATTTCTCCCAACTAAAGGTTTCGCCAAATAAACGGAAAAAAATGCACTTCCAATTTTCTCATAAAATTCAAACATTTAAGTTTCCTGTGGCAAAAAAGTGGAGATTCATGGAATCATAGAGTTGAAAAGTACCCTAAAGGTCATCTACTCCAACTCTCTGCTATGCAGGAATCTCAACTAAAGCATCCATGACACATAGCCATCCAACCTCTGCTTAAAATACTCCAATGAAGAAGAATCCACAACCTGCTGAGGGAGACCATTCCACTGTCTAACAGCTCTTAGTGTCAGAAAGTTCTTCCTGATGTTCAGTTGGAATCTCCTTTCTTGTAACTTGAATCCATGGTTCAGGTCTTACCATAAAGAGCAGTAGCAAACAAGCTTGCTTTATCTTCCAAGTGACAGTACTCTTGATATTTGAAGATGGCTATCATATCTCCTCTCAGTCTCCTCTCTTCTAAACATTTGTCCTTATGTAAAACATTTAAAGTATATCACCGAAAGGTATATAGATAAATGAAAAACAAAAACAAAAAACTACTAACATTTTTCAAGTGGTTTCAACAACTTTTTCCACTATATGTGTTCACTATACTCAGGCAATCGAGGTGAGCATGAGACTTCACACCAATAACTGCATTTTCATAAGCAAAAACAGCCTCCATTGCTTAGACAAATACTACATTGTATTCATTATCTTTTTCTATGCCTTTTTTTTAAAAAAAGAAGACAAGGTGTCATTACATTTGGAAGGATGGCACATCATAATAACACATCTACTTTACGTAATGAAAAATCTGGTGTAGCATTTGGTAAAGAAGCAATTATAATCTATGTTAACACAGTATGTGTGTTTTGCTAGTGATTGATAAGCCAAAGACTTAAACGAAGAGTGAGTTCTGTTTGATGTCAGTCAATTTTGACAGATTTCTCACTTACTCCAGCCATAAGGAAGGTGTTGAGTATATAATTTCCTCCCGCCCGTAAATGAGTTTTGAAAGTTTGAATTCTTTGGAACAAGTTTTAGATTGCACGGTTTTGATGAATGTGGAACAACGAATGCAGTTAAGGAAAAACAGAATCAACTCCAATATTCATCTAGCTCAGACCATGGTTGCACAATGTCTGTCTCACCAAACTGCTTCACAACCCATCATTTTACTGATCACAATCAGGCAGGTAGAAACAGGAAGTTTGTTGGTGTGTGGTGGACCAACATACATGGTTGGTGGACTGAATTCTGCTCAGGGAATCTTGACTCAATGTAGGTCAACTCTACAGCTCAAAATAATCAATTGTTCTGAGTATCTCATAGTGAGACAGAGATAAGTACAAAGAAGACATTCCTATGTTTCATTTCAGGACTTTCATGAGGCTCACCTTTACTAGATATGTCTTTCTGTATGTGTGAAAAATAATCCAAACAATGACCTGTACTTGTCAACTGATAATGTCTTTTCCACAAGCGGCCTACACCACGAATTGGACAACATTTTAAAATCTGCTCTCTGCTTTCTTCTCTTTCTAAAAGAAATACTTTTTAGGATGACCCTGCTAGTGAACTCCCCTCCCAAATTTGGAGTGGACCCAGTTCAAACAAATTATTTCAAGACACAACTTAAATTATTCTAAAAATTTTGAATATTATGGACTATTTTGAATCAAGGTGCTGCAATACTCCCAGTGCTGGTTTCAGGAGAGCACATTGGTTTATATTCTTATACACACACCTTCAATTCTCCTCAAAGAGTTACAGCTCCCAGAGTTTCATGGGAAGAGGGATTTATTGTTAAAACAATCTGGAAAATGTAGGTCTTTGAGAAGCATAAGGTAAAGGTAAAGGGACCCCTGACCATTAGGTCAAATTGTGACCGACTCCGGGGTTGCGGCACTCATCTTGCTTTATTGGCCAAGGGAGCCGGCGTACAGCTTCCGGGTCATGTGGCCAGCATGACTAAGCCACTTCTGGCGAACCAGAGCAGCACACGGAAACGCCGTTTACCTTCCCGCCAGAGCAGTACCTATTTATCTACTTGCACTTTGAGGTGCTTTTGAACTGCTAGGTTGGCAGGAGCAGGGACCGAGCAACGGGAGCTCACTCCGTTGCGGGGATTCGAACCGCCGACCTTCTGATCTGCAAGTCCTAGGCTCTGTGGTTTAACCCACAGCGCCACATAGGGGTCTCTTAACAAGTCTCAGCATGCTTAACAAACTACACTTCCCAGGATTCTTTGGAGGAAGCCAGGATGGTTTAAAGTGTTGATTCTGCTTTAAATGAATAGTGCAAATGGATTATCAGTTGGTTGCCATCCTAAGACATGTTGGCAGTTGTGGAGGGAGGACAGCAATTTGTACCCTGCATAGCTGCTTGCCCATCCCATGACTAGCAGTTGCAGAAATTGCAATAAATTATGGGAAATGGTGGATGTTTGCTTAATATGGAACACTGCCTCTACTCTCCCATTCTAATCCACAGTGACTACCTAGAAATGCAGCTGTTGAGTCCCTCCCCTCCATATATATCAAAGGAAACCCAAAACAGAATTATGGCAGCATTATGATGATTGCTGGGAAATATGGTGGACTGGAAGCCTTCTATAATTATCTCAAGGAACATTTGCCATGAAAGACAAAACTGACTGTCTCAGCAAATCTTGTGGCTAATTTAACCATGGTGGTAAAACTGTCAGTGGTACCCTTTGCTCAGTAATTGACTGGTGCTAAGGAGCATTATGACCTTTGAAAATGTCAGACTCTGAGATGAACCTGGTGTGAAACATCTCCCACCCCTCCCAAGCACGGAGATCCCTGTACAAGTTGGAAATTGTTTTGACACTTGTACAATTACTGACTAACACCAAACCCATTTTGCCTTTTGTTTGCCTGTGGGGATACTCTACTGTGGAAAGCTGTAGGTGACAACGAGTTTAGGATACTTACTTTATTTGTAGATGGATATCGTTTTGTTCCTTTTATATTTCTTTAAGAACTTCAGGCAAAAGGGTAATGTCTAAAGAGGACTCTGAGGACTGAACACATTGTAGCTTAAAGGGCTACATTATATTATGGGATGACCATATTCCATTCATTATGTGGCATCTGTATGATGTAATGAGATAAACATCCTCTTTTTATGCTACTCCACTTCAGCTTCTGGTCGCCGGCTCAGAAAAAAATCTGACTTTAAAGACACAATATAATATCTGTGCCATCTCCTCTGGTGAAGACCATCTATGTAGCTTGCTCTAGCCATTTCCTTCTCTTTGCCTTTAAAAATCAACTCTACCACTTTAACCTTGTCCTTTCCAAATCACATCAACTCGCTACCCACAACTTCCTACTGAGGAGCAATCACCATTGGGACTACTGCAAGGGAAGAGAGAATGTTTAACCGTTTTGCTCTCTGTCCTATATTTCTGATGAACATTGTCCAACACACACACACACAGCTGGGGAAAGGAAGGTTTTCCTTCTCAAGTACAGGATGCCATTCAGATTTCAGAGGTTTGGAAGCAGTTGTTATTCTGCTTGCAGTGACTGGGTGCTGCTAAATCACCCATATCAACCTGAAGGCACCCTACGTTAGACTTCAGGTCTTCAGCTTCTGGGTTCATATATTTCTTTCATTTCCTCCAAAACATTACACAGCAGAACACATTAGTGTCATGACATTCTCTCTTCCAGCACCCTCACTTCTGCCTCTGGTATTATGATGATCCCAGTGCCATCATTGTGATGCGAGCAATGACCTCACAAGAGACCAGGCTTTGTGGAGGGCTCTGACTGACTGCAATGAGAAAAGCACACTCTGATGTTGCTTCAGCCACAACCAACCTTGGACTGAGCCTTAAACAGGGGCAGCATTTCTGTCTCACTTGTTAACTCAACCTTTACGGCCTCTTCAAGTTACAGGGGACAGGCCCATTTTAGCAGTCTTTTACTCTGAGGGAGCAGGGCAGACGCCGGTTGTACTGCAGCTTTTGTGATGTGGTCCTTGGAGCCAGGAACGACCATGTGACACGTTTGGGCTGCAGGCACACTGCAACTATGGGCTCATTTTGTGGATGTTCTTCTGGGGCCTGTTCAGCCTACAATAACCCTTCTGATTCTATGAATCCTCATCGCCTAAAGAAGAGGAATCAGCTCAAAGAAACATCACAACAGGTGTGGACAATATGGAACACCCTGAACAATATGGAGGTACAAACAAGAGTCAAGTTTTAATAGATGTTAAAGGCGAAGGAGGGGTGTGGTTGCCATTTCCAGCAGTAACCATGCATTTGCCTCGACAGCTAGTTTTACCCTAACAGATAAAAAGAAATTCATACCCTCCAACATTTCTCCAATGAAAATAGGAATGATTCCATCATCATCATCACCATCATCATCAGTTTAGTATTTATACCCCACCCATCTGACTGGGTTGCCCCAGCCACTCTGGATAGCTTCCAGCATATAAAAAAACAACAACATAATAATAAAACATTAAACATTAAAAAACTTCCCTATACAAACAAGGCTTCCTTCAGATGTCTTCTAAAGGTTGTATAGTTACTTATCCCCTTGCCTCGGGGGTCTCTTAACTCCATACCCTCCAACATTTCTCTGACAAAAATAGGGACTTCCTAAGGAAAAATGGGGCATTCTGGGATTAAAACAGAAACCAAGGTGGCTTCTGTAAATCTAGGACTAATACTGGGAAATAGAGACACCTGGAAGGTCTGGAAATTCAGAGCACAGGGATGGCAAGCTATGCTGTGAAGCCTAACTAAAAAAGGGCGGGGGAGAGGAGGCAGGCAAGACTATAATTTAAGGATGTGAATGGAATGAAGATGATCCCATGGCACTTCATGAAAAGGAAAGCAAGGATGTGTGTGCCTAATGACCTAAACCCACTCATTAGGATTATGGTTGTGGATAAGCACAGCAGGCCTTATCATTAAATCTACTGCCATCGTTTCCCAAAATACTTAAATTCATTGCAGAAGGGTTATAAAGTACTTCTAAGTGGCTCTTAAAAAACACGCATGCATGCACATGCACGCGCACAGACACATGGAATCACTCTTTTTTTTCCTCTTTAATCCAAAAACAGAAAGCAGCGTAAGTCATTGAATTTACCAAGTGCATTATCTGAAGAGCCATTTCTCTATATTTTCATGTATATATGCATGTCTTTTGTTCAATAATGAAACAAACAGGTTTCATTTTTGCCTTTCCTTTTCCCCTGTCAGGATCTGAATGCGAGAGTTACATCCGTCATTAATGACTCATCCCAGCTAATCTCTATTCTGTTCATAGCTTCGCACTGTCTTCTTGCCACGGCTTCCCTTGCCGAACCTATTGTTTCAAATAGGGGGAAAGGCTGTTCTGAGCTCCTGTGGTGTGAGGACTTTAGAGTGCCTTGACTCCCCCCTCCCATCTTACCCGCAATCATACCCTTCAAAAACATCAGAAGAAATTGAAGTTGGAAGAAATTGGAGGCATTTAAGCTGAGGCTGGATGGCCATCTGTCAGGAATCCTACATTACAGATATCGCATTGAGCAAGGATTTGGACAGTATGCCTTTTAAGGATGCGTCTAACTCTGTAACTCTACGGTTCAAGTTAGGGGGAAATGTGCCATAAACAAGCTTGCAAAAGGTACATCAGATTCAAGGAAATGTTGTTTTGAAGCTGGTGTGATTATCTGACTCAGCATGCTAGCCACATCATATTGCTCCCCAAAACTGTGCTCTAAACATTGGTCTCCTATTTTCAACAGCACACACATCTTGGAGATAAATGTATAAAAGGTTAAAAGGCTTAGAAAATAGTTGAACTTCATGCACCCCTAAAACCTGTGTTAGGAAGGCACGTATTCCAAAAGACAGTGAAGAATCCATTAAATTACACATTAAATGAAATATAGAATCATAGAATCTTAGAGTCCACCACCTCTCGTGGGAGTCTGCTCCACTGCCAAACAGCTCTTAGTGTCAAAAAGTTTTTTTCTGAACATTTAGTCAGAATCTCCTAACTTGAAGCCATTGGTTCAAATCCTACCCTCCAGAGTCCTCAAGTCCTACCTCTCCAGGAGAAAACAAGCATGTTCCCTCTTCCATGTGACAGCCCTTATGATCTTTGAAGATGGCTATCATATCACCTCTTGGTCTTCTCTTTTCCAAACTAAACTTACCCAGCTCCTTCAAGCGCTCCTTGTAAGGCTTAGTTTACCTTAATCACATACCCTTAATCATCTTGGCCACCCTCCTCTGCATACATTCCAGCTTGTCAACACCCTTCTTAAATTGCAGTGTCCAGAAGTGGACACTGTATTCCAGGTGTGGTTTGATCAAGGCAGAATAGGGTGGTACTATTATTTTCCTTGATCTGGACACTATACGTCTGTTGATACAGCCTAGAAAAGCATTAGCTAATTTACAGGTGGTACATAACACCAGTCAAGCTTGCAAAAATTTATCATTTGCCCGATAATAAATGTTGGAAATGTAATGAAACTGAAGGTACATTCTTTCACCTTTGGTGGACGTGCCCAAAGATTAAGGCATTCTGGGAGATGATCTATAATGAAATGAAAAGGGTATTTAAATATAGCTTTCTAAAGAAACCAGAGGCCTTTCTCCTGGGCATGGTAGGCCAATTGGTGCCAAAGAAGGATAGAATTTTTTTCATGTATGCCACAACAGCAGCAAGAATACTTATTGCAAAGCACTGGGAGACACAAGATCTACCTACCAGGGAAGAATGGCAGATGAAGCTGATGGACTACATGGAGTTGGCGGAAATGACTGGCAGAATCTGAGACCAGGGAGAAGAGTCAGTGGAAGAAGATTGGAAAAAATTTAAAGCTTATTTACAGAAATATTGCAAAATTAATGAATGTTAGAAGGATGCTGGAATGAAGTTATATGGCTTTAGCAGAAATGTTATAAAGAATTAAGTAAAAAAAGATGGTTAATGGGTCAAAGTGGAAATTTAATGTTAATTGTGTTAAGATAAATTATAGAACAAAAATTAAGAAAGATGGAAAGGATTTGCTGAAATAGCTAATTGAACAAGAATACAAAAAAGGGAGGTGTGAGGAGGTCGATGACACAAGTAAATGAAAGGTAGAGATATAGAGATACTGGATGTGTTTTTTAAATGTTTTTGCTTTTTTGTTGTTTTGTTGTATGGTTTTTTTGTTTTTTTCTTTATTTTTGATGTATTGTGAACTTTTTATTGTTTTTTTTGTTCTTTTTTCTGTAACTATTAAACTTTTAATAAATATCTTTTTTTAAAAAATAGAAAAGCATTAGCTATATACTTACTACTGCTGCTGCTTCAACAATATGCAAAGTTAAACATATTGGCATAAAATAAGTGAATGCGACAGGAAAACCAGCACCAGACCATAAAAGGACAGATCCCAGGTAAGCTGAAAGAGGTCCGCCAACATAGGAGTGGCAACACCAGATGACACATTGTCCAGGTTTCAAACAAATATGGCACCAGCCCTATCTATATCCCTTTGTATCAGTAAAAGTTGCCCATATCTCTCGTGCTCTTGGGTAACCCTCTTCTCCTTAAAATAGGAGTGGGTAATTTTTGGCTCTCAATACGTTGCTGGGCTGCAACTCCTTCCTGACAGAGGGAAAATGAGTTTTTAAAATAGTAGTCTACTCCAGGTTGCCAGGTCATGTGACTGAGCCAGCCTAAGCCCCCATCCCTCAAGTCTTGCCTCCAGAATGCCTCTTTTGTGGGGCTTATGCTAGCCTCATCTCATCCAGCTGAGCTGGAATGAGCAAGTTACGCTGGTATATCTTCAGTTGAGCTGGGTTTGAGGACTTAATGCTGGCTGAAATTAAGTTTTGCTGCATCCTAAGCTGCTCATCTCATTCAGTCTTGCCCCCTAAGTCTATATTTTAAGAGGCTTCTTTGCTGGCCTGGTTGATCTGACCATAGTTTTCTTCTTTAGCAGGCCAGGGGCATATAGACTGACTCCTACTACATGTGGGCTTCCAGCAGGTTTCTGGCTGGGAACAGGAGGGTGGACTTGATGGGCCTTCAGTCCAATCTAGCAGGACTGCTCTTATGTTCCTAAATCCCTAATTGTCACACCTCAGTTTCTCAGATCAGAGCCCACTGCAAACCACCTCTTTGGAATATTCGGCCTTGCATAAGTATTAGTTGTTGTTTCTACAGGATTATGTTTCTACATAGGACATGAACCTAAAGATAGACTTCCTGGCTATGGTTCAAGCCCTCCTCAAGACTGTCACTATGGCACAGCAAGCCCGAAAGAAAAAGCTTGGCAGGACCAGAAGCTACACAAAGTGTCTGCTTGTAAGTATTTAAAGTGCAATCAGTGTTGGTGTCCATCATGAACCAATTAGATATTATCATCCTTGCTTCTTTACCACCATAGCCTACAAAGCTTCCTTCCCACTTCTTGGTGAAATGCTTGATGTGCCTTGTATGTTGTGCCAGACCAACTATAGTGGGGTGGCTTAACTATAGTTTGTTAAGGGCACTGGGAATTATAGCTCTGTGAGGGGTAAACTACAATTTCCAAGATTCTTTGGGGTAAGCAATGTGCTTTAAATGTATGGTGTATGCTGCTGCTTGTCTGGGGCTGAGTTGCAGGAGTTTTCATTTTAGTTGTGGCACTGAAACAGAACTTCCCACAAGTTCCAAATTTTGGCTATGTTTTGAAAGGCTGCCATCTGATTTTAAAGTTGTTTTAAGAAAATCCAGAATCCAACCTGAGGAATCTAGTTCTTAGTTCTTACAAAACATGAGACACAGTCTCTCTTGTTTGTTTAGATCAAGGGTAGTCAACCTTTTTATACCTACCTCCCACTAATGCATCTTTCTTGATGGTAAAATTTCCCTACCACTCACCAGTGCTCGATGGAAGGAGGATTCAGCTTGTGCTGTAGAACACCCTACCGCCCACCTAAAAACCTGAAATGCCCACTAGTGGGCTGTAGGGATCAGGTTGACAACCCCTGGTTTAGATTCACACACCCCATCCTCTGAAAATCCTGGTTTGTAGCCAACTAAATTTTACTCAGAGTAGATCCACTGAAATTCATTAGTGGATCAAAGTTAGTCTACTCTGAACTAGGATTGCATATTGATCAATGTGAGAAACAACATAAATAAATTCAGTTGACTTTAACAGTTGAATGTATGGGCTCACAGAATATTAATTTCTTAAGGAAGAGAAGCAAAGTCCCCCTCCTCCTCCACTTCTTCCTCTTCTTCTTCTTCTTCTTCTTCTTCTTCTTCTTCTTCTTCTTCTTCTTCTTTTATTGCCACTTGGTGCAGGAACATTCCACAGCAGCAGACTTCCTTTATTTCTCATCCAGTCCCTGTGAGAGCAATCTAAAATCTGTTTCCAGTGGTTGACTTGCAATATGAGTGAAGGCGAAGAGATGGCAGCCCTGGAAGTGAATACATATTAATAAAGCTGACAATCTCGCATGAATTTCCAAACTGACTAGAAACATTTCTTTCTTTATCTTGGGAAGAAAGAAAATACTGAAATTACCTATACAAATCCCAGGGAAGTCTTAATGAACACATAAGAACAGCAGGCCAAGAACTATAATAATGGGCTGAATTTTAGTCCCTCACTGGGATTCCATCAATGCTTATTAAGCACCTGTGAGAGGCAAAGAGAAAGAGAGAGATCTTAGCACTGTATGCTGTGTCAAGAATTTTGAGAGTTTAATTAGAATGGTAGAATTGTAGAGTTGGAAGGAATCCTGAGGGTCATCTAGTCCAACCCCATGTAATGCAGGAATCTCAACTGAAGCATCTGTGGCAGATAACCACTCAACATTTGCTTGAAAACTCCAATGAGGAAGAGTCCACCACCTCTCATGAGAGTTTGTTCCATTGTTGGCAATTCCCTCTAATAGGGTCTATCACCTCACAAGAAAGAAGAAGAAGAGTTTGGATTTGATATCCTGCTTTATCACTACCTGAAGGTGTCTCCAAGCGGCTAACATTCTCCTTTCCCTTCCTCCCCCACAACAAACACTCTGTGAGGTGAGTGGGGCTGAGAGACTTCAAAGAAGTGTGACTAGCCCAAGGTCACCCAGCAGCTGCATGTGGAGGAGCGGGGAAGTGAACCCGGCTCACCAGATTACGAGTCTACCGCTCTTAACCACTACACCACACTGGCAGGACTCCCCCCCCCCCCCAAATAAGGAAGTGGCTTCTGCATACTCAGGGAGCAAATTTATAAATGAAAATAAAAAGTGGGAAAGTGGGGGGACCTTTCGAAACAGCCTGACAATGATCTGAGCTTCCAAGAGGTATGGAATAGCATGCTTTTGTGGGATTTAAAACTGCAGCAAAGTACAACATTCCTACAATGGACATGTTAGGGGATGTTTTGTACCACTCAGGAGAAGACTTCCTGTTTCCTCCTGAGCTGGGAAAGACTTCCACTACATATGACTTGAAGAGGGTGTGGTCTGTTGTACTAGCACGGAGGAGCACATGGCCTCCATGTTCTGATCAGTGTGTATTCTCCATTTTGTGTTCCTAAGAGTTAGGAGAAGTGACTGCTGAGTCGCAGTCACTTGAGACTATTTCCCTTATGGGGCAGTTCATGTAGATATATAGTTATGTAACCTAAGTCTGCCTTCAGGGATCTATCTGTGAACCTGAATGAATCTGTGAGTAAACTTATTTTATATTAAGTTTAATCAGATTCTCATGGCTATTCTTTTTAAGAGGGATTAGAAGGCATCTTACCAGGAATCTTAAGTAGTGAGGCTCAAACGAGCCAGCAACAAGCTAACTGCTGTGTAACTTAAAAACTGGGATATTTGGAACTCTGCTAGGATATGGAACTTGCTAGCACAAGTTAGGAAGGATATGCTTAAATAATATATCCTTTCCTGCCTCCCTAATCATCCCCACAGTTTTCAGTTAGGAAATGTGGGGTGGGGTGGGGAGAATGAAAGAGCCCACTGAACATAGGGAGAAATCCTGCAGTAAGATCCGCTGGGCTGAGTGGGTTTGGGATCCAGCAGATCTCTGGCTGATTAGGGAGGTTTCTGGCATGGGTGGGCTATGTTGCCAAAATTCCACACCCTCAGATCATTCAGAAATACACTAGCGTTATTTCCCTCATCCTGTCTCAGCCTGGACCCAGCCAGCTGAGCCCATCCCAGTGGTTCTTGAAGAAGAAGAAGAAGAAGAAGAGGAGGAGGAGGAGGAGGAGGAGGAGTTTGGATTTGATATCCTGCTTTATCACTACTCGAAGGAGTCTCAAAGCAGCTAACATTCTCCTTTCCCTTCCTCCCCCACAACAAACACTCTGTGAGGTGAGTGAGGCTGAGAGACTTCAGAGAAGTGTGACTAGCCCAAGGTCACCCAGCAGCTGCATGTGCCGGAGCAGGGAAGCGAACCCAGTTCACCAGATTGCGAGTCCACTGCTCTTAACCACTACACCACGCTGGCTCTCTTGAGTCAGTGTAAACTTTGAAAAGGGGGTGCAGCAGTTGGACCAGAGGGGGTTTTCGGCCTCAGTCACCAAACTACCTTGACCAGCTTTAAGAATTATGCACCTTAACTTGTGGGGAAAGAGCAGCAAATGTCCTAAGTAGCAAAATGTCTTGGGCCAGCCTTGCTTGCTGAAGCAGCAGAGTCGATAAAGCGTGTCCTCCCTAAAAGTGTTGCGGTGAGACCTGGAGACTGACGTTCTTGTTGTGGGTGGGTATATTGGACAGCCCCACACCCAACTGATAGGTCCCTTGTTGCTGGGTTTAATCTGGTCAATGGAGTGCTGTCTCAACGGATTGAGGGACCTATAAATACCTATGCACATGACCCAGAGCTTCCTCTTTTGGCTCGTGCATCAGAACACCCACCCACCTCTCCCTATATTTAGGGCATTTTGTGATTGACCTTTCTATGCTGTCATGTGCCGTCTGTCATTGGGACAGGGGCACGACAGGAATTTCCCCCACTTGGCTGATTGTTGCCATTTGGGTTTCGCCTGCCGCGTAGCAAATTGTCACAACTTGTAAGGTTGTGGATAGGCACTGTTTCAGGTGATAGGGATGGGAGAACGGTCTCGTCATCCCTATGTGAAGGGTATTCCGTTCAAGGAATCCAGGGACTCAACTTGGTTTGGTCAACCCCCAAGAGGGGCTTGTGCCCGTGCCTGAGTCCAGGGGAGCATCTGGGGAGTGGACATAGTCTGTACTTGGGCTTTCTACCTACCTCAGGTATTCACCCTTGGTTGACCTATGATAGAGCTCTGGGTCAGCACTACCTGCCAGGGTGCAGGGAGCTAGTCGAACCAGAGCCTATGCAACCACTTACTTTCTGTAATCAATAAAGTTGTGGCCTAAATTCTGCCAAAAACCAAACTAAAATTTGAGTCAAATGTGTGTTGATTTAGGGGGGATCTCTCTGGGTCTGAACATGCAAAGACAGCTGTGTGAAAGAGGGTCTTATGAAAAACCCCATCAAAAGAAGAATAGATAATGAAATTGATGGACTATGCAGAACTGGCGAAGCTGACCAGGAAAATCAGGCACCGAAAGAACAATAAATTTAGTCAAGAATGGCACAACTTTATAGAGTACATCAAAGATCACTGTAAACAATTAAAAACGTTTCAGGATTGACATAGCACTTGTAATTTATAATGACAAAGGAGAAAAATGGAAATGTAATAATTTAGGTAAATGCAATTAGCTGCAGAAAAGGGAAGGAATTTTTTGCAAGCAAAATAATATGGTATTAAAGTAAACAAGTGTGTCTGTGCAGAAAACTGTTTTTGTTGTGAAATTTTGATTTTTTTAAAATTTGTTTTTAAAGAGGGGGGTGTCCTGCAACTTCAAATTGCAGATTTGACAGCTTGATTGTTTTTAAACTGGCTGGGGCGGGAGGGTATGTGGAAGTCCAAGAAGAAGAAAACCTAAAACTATATGTAGCATGTAGGAGATCTTCCCTCTGTGTCATTCACTGCATTTATGCTACAAGCGTATATCCAGAACATGGGGGGAAACCCCATGCAGTTAAAAGGAAAACTGCATTGGAAATGGCACATATTTTTAGTAACCACTTTTCTATACTCCGTGGATACAGAATGTTGGAATGTGGCCACAGAACCTAAATGTTTCAGCATTGTTAATTTATCAAAATGTGAAGCCTCTCCTTGTGAAATCCTAAGGGGAGAAACATTTCCTGAAAACCTCTACTTAACTTGGAAAAAAACCCCAACCAGGCTGTTTTTCAGTTCCCTCGCATGACCTATAAAGGGATGGAAGTGAGAAATGACAGGTTGGAAGCAGACAAATTTTATATACTGTGGGACCCAAGTGGCATGGGGTTTTCTCATAGACTAGGGCACCTTTTACTTTCAGGTCTGCAGTTCACATGAGGGTCAGGCTGGCAGCGGGCAAACTAATTTTCTGCAGGCAGATGGTTAGTGACCTTTGCAAAGGGGATCGGTGCTTTTAGCCTATGGACTTAGCGGGCAGCATTTTCCTCTAGAGTGGTCAGTAAAGGCTACCCTAGTCAGCAATCTGAATGCTAAGGTTAAGGCTGCATCGTGTGAACTTCCCTACTGCACTAAATGCTTATTCTTCCAGGACATTAGAGAAGGACATCCTTAGACACACCAGTACTCACAACAGTCCAAAATCTCCCCCACTCCCACTTCTGCTAATGCTTCCTTTTCGACCTTACTGTCCCCTGGAAAAAATAAACCTCTTTGAAAAACTTCAAAAGTCTTGGCTGAAGCCACACTAAGATCCTCAGTTTTGATCCTGTGTTTCTGAGCACAATTCAAAGTGTTGGTGTTGACCTTTAAAGCCCTAAATGGCCTCGGCCCAGTATACCTGAAGGAGTGTCTCCACCCCCATCATTCTGCCCAGACACTGAGGTCCAGTGCCGAGGGCCTTCTGGTGGTTCCCTCACTGCGAGAAGCAAAGCTACAGGGAACCAGGCAGAGGGCCTTCTCGGTAGTGGCGCCCGCCCTGTGGAACGCCCTCCCATCAGATGTCAAAGAGATAAACAACTACCTGACATTTAGAAGACATCTGTTGTTGTTTTTTAAAATAATATTTATTAATAATTTCAAAATTACAGAAAAGAGAAAAAAATTAAAAACAAAACTACAATACAAAAAAAGAATAAAAAAGCAAAACATAAAAACCAATACAACAATACAGCAAAAAGGTAAAAAGAAAGAAAGAAAAAAAGACACAGATCCCATATTACATATCTTTAACTTCCATTTGCTTGTTTCATTGACCTCCTCACGCCTCCCTTTTTGTATTCTAGTTTGGTTAGTTATTTCAGCAAATTCTTTCCATCTTTCTCAATTTTTATTAGATAATTTATCTTAACAATTTAACCTATTAATTAACTCAACA